GCCTCGGTTTCGGGCTTCGACCTCCCCCCAATCCAACCTTCATCTTCATTCGACCAGTGGATCCTCGTATCAATTACAGGCTTCCGTTTAGTTCCCGTAGCATCGCCAGATGGATCGTCGGAGGCCCTGACGTGCATCCGTCGTGGCTTAAGATGCCTCTGTTTCTTGCTTAAAAGCAGGCAAGAGAACGTCGAGGAGGCTGTTGAAGCCATGAAACGGAGCGGTGAACTCCCTGAGCTGAGAGAGAGAGAGAGGGGACGGGATGTGTTCAAGTGATTGGTGAAGGTTGAGGGTTGTTTTTCGCTTGGTCCCTTGGCGTGCTTCGGTTCCACTCAGATTATGTGGTGCCCAATTTTCGTAGTATTTGCAAAAAAACGCCTGCTCACAAGTCTCGTACTCGTCATCACATCATCATTCAATAAAAGAAGAGGGTTAATTACACGTAAGACTTTAATTAGGAGCATCCAACGTAATGTGATTCTATTCCTTGCAGATAGATCACTATCTGTTGGATAAATTCCGTGGTACTTTAACCCTCTCGTAGACTCACTAATTTCATCTGTGAGTAACCTTCGCCAAAATTTCACCGAACAATAGAGCCAAAGAAATTTCACCCACAAGTCTATCTACCGAAAATAAAAATTTGATGCTACAGGACGTCTATCTGCTATTAACCCCGCCTTAAAAAAAGAGAAAAAGAAGAAGAAGAATAAAAAAAATAAAAGGAATAAAACAACTGTCTAAATGGCGCTATTTACTAGATGGTATATCAAAACCTCCGTGATCCTTGCATCAAAGATTCACTTCTTCTGCTAATTAGAGTAAGCAGTCCGAGTCCAGAAGTTGACAAGTAAACGGGCATCATAAGTAATTTCTCAACAAGGAGACACAGCAGTCAGGAGCTTCCATTGATCGGACGGCTGGGATTTCAACTGTAGCAAGTAAAAATATCAACAATACACCAAGGAGCAAAATATAAGGCCATATAATATGCATATCACAATATCCTGGTCTTCAAACTGGTGATATCACTTGTAAACGTTCTAAACTACTAAACTGCAGTTTTAGGCTTTGTGCAAAAGCTTGAAGAGGCAAAAACCCAGAAAATTTGATGATATTCACTCCAAAATAATAATAATAACAATCACTTCTTTTTCGTAAAGAGCAAAAGAGGCATCGAGAATGAGTTGAAGTTTTTTTTCCTCAAAAGTACACATCTGGTCTTCTCTGATACACATGTAAGCGCCTTGCGCACGAAAAAAAAATCTCAGAAGTTACAAGACTGGTAAATGAAAAACATGAGCAAATTTCAGCAAGAGGCAGGGGCAGAGAAGTTGCACCCGCAACAGAAGCAGCAATACTAGTAATGGGAGGAAGCAAAAGCTGCAGCAGCAGCAGAGGCAGCAGTGATAACAGTCAGCAGTGGCGGCAGCAGCGATAGCAACAGTTGTGACATGAATGAAGAAATGCAGTGGTGCCTTGCAATCAGCTTACAAGAAGAGCCAGCATTCAACTAAAAGTTAGAAGAACTGACATGGGGTATACATACTTAAGAACCTATACGATAGACGAATTAGAAATAAAATATATGATTTCTGAAATATGATTCTAAGACGTAAAAACCTGCATGGGAAGTCTTAATTTAGTTGAACTGTGAGAAATTGGGAGCTGCTAACCTTGAGGGGAAGTCACAAGAACTGTAATGAAGAAAAAAGTTTATAATAAAAGCACACATGCAACAAGATGCTTTTTTGCCCTTTTTTGTTTTCTGGTGTGAGAAAACACGATGCACAGCACTTGAAGCAGTTACTTACATGTGACTGTTAATGCATACACACTGTTTCCATTTTATTTTATTTCCCTCTAAGTAGAAGGATGGAATACCATCCTTGTTTTCGCTAAGATTTAAAACAAAGTTTCATAGTCTGATGAGTGATGAGTCATAGAATAACGAATTATGCAGTAGCATATCAAAGTACAATTTGAGTTAAGGTTCAATTGTTAAATACGCTCCATAGTACACGTCAGCCTGATATTACAATGCTACTTTGTTATCACTGATAGACCTACATGCAAACACTCATTGGCTCTACAGAATAGTCCCCTCTTGCTAGCAGCGCCCGCACACAAAAATTGAAGTATATTCTTCTGTGGAGCTTTTTAGACGTTTGACTATGACCCTATTTTAATGGGAGAAGTCGGTGACAATGACGATGATAATGATAAACATAGTGATCAATGCTGGTAGATTTACCTATAATAATGGCATATAACTATAGAGGTTTATGTATAACGGTTGTGAGAAAGCACTTTATAATTCCTTATATAAACAAGCTTAAAGTTTACTCCTTCACAAACTCTAACATGGGGTCAGCTTAATTAATGATTGGCACTATTCATTTTGACCTACACATTGTGAAACACTCGTGGGAAAAAATTTGTAGCATCAAGATCTAACTCATTCATCTATTGGTTGAAAAACGAACTATTTTTTCTTGCAAAACCAAAGGAACAATTTGATTTATGACATAAAACTTTGAAGTCATAAATTTATGACATAAAACTTTGAAGTCATAAATTTAACTCTTATGTATGTTTATGATATGACGGGAATGATGAGAAAAATGAAAGGTTTGGATCATCAACTGGGCGGGCCATCTAGGTGATGACGAACATAAAATTTGTTCCTACGGGAACCATAATGCCCTACCCACTGCTGTTAGCTGCAGATGCTGATAATGTTTACAATTATAGTTTTCCTATGTGTACTTCCTTTGCAGCTTCAAACAAAAGCCATTTTGATGAAAAACACCAAAAGATATGATGAAGAATCAAAGATCAGTCACGCATTAACATACCATAAACTTAACACTAACAGTATTGACCAACCTAAATATATTACTGTAAAGGCAACATGCTGAGCATGATTTCAGTAATTATTAAGATTATAATTTTGCACTCACAACCATTAGCAGCCCGGATCCAGTTTCATGCAACTATGCAAGGAACACTATGTTTTGAACACATGAAATAAGAATGTGAAAAAGAATCGAAAATTTTGCTCAAACCTGTATAGCATATGTAGACAAAATAATGCAGGAAGTCAAGTCTGATTCACTTTGTAATCTTAGAGGCAGGCGGGTGATAAAAGCGGCAAACAGTTCGATGGCAAATTCCACGACGAAAATCACGACAGACTTCAACTTGGTTATCTACCACCTATAAGAGCAGCAACCAGATGCATCTCTGACATGCATCAAACATAATAATATAGAGGACAATGATATTCTACATCATTATTATCTATGAAAGTGTTGTTTAGATGAAAGTACCTTAGTTTTTGATTCAGGATGAGCATATTTACAAGAATCTCGTTTACACATTTTGTTTAAGAAGTCTCTGCACACTTGTAAAATTTCCTGACCTATATAAATATTAACACACTATTATGAAAAGGAATATAATAAACAGAAAGATATCATCATTATAAATAAAAAAGACTAAATTATAGGAATTAAGAATATATGTCTAATTTTTCAGGAATTTATATTAAGTTTTGGCATGTAATAGCAGCAGAAGAAAAGAGATGTGGATTTGCAAGATCATCTTCAATAAATCAGTTAACTAACTCTGAAGGAGAAATTGCAAATAGACTTGCATTTGCAAAAATAATGTTTACTATAGAACTAAAATGGCGAGCAACCAACCACAGTTGTCCCAGGAAATGATAAATACTGAAAATTTTGAAAAAATAAATATTGATCTCTTTGAACAAGGATGGAATGGCCTGGTTTGGTTTTAAAGGTGGCAATAACGATGATCCTCCTCTTTATGGTAGCTTACATAATTCAGGAACAGAAACTTTTGGGTCAGAGGCAAATATTTAAGAATAATACTGACATACTCATTCAGAGCTAGCAAAGATGGATATATGCTTTTAACCTTCCCAGAAAGCACAAAGTAAAATTGTCCATGTAACATGATTCCATGTGAGAAAGTACTGCATAGCCTTTTTTGTTATGGATGATGAGATTTAATATGCTAAACCATAACATTTTGGGAATACTGTTCTTTTAAAAGCACAATTTTTTTGTATGAAGGAAGCTAATCTAATTGCCATTTCAAAGGAAAGGTAAAAAACAAGTTTCTTCAACAAGGACAAGTTCATAATCTTTGAGCAAGGTATTACCTTTTCCAGTTTGAGGTGGAGAACTAGGACGTACCATTGGTCTTCCACATTGTTGTAGGGGAGCCTTCAATAGAAAGAAATTTTTACTGTTTAGATTGTGAATCACTTACCTTGGTGATTATAAGTGGAGAAACAGGTTGGTATATCGCAAAATGCAATTGATATCAAATATCATTAACATCAATGGATTCGGAACAACCTTTATGATATCCAAGAAACAAAATAAGAACAATTTTATAAAAGATAAAGATATCATTGCTAATTTTCTGATAGCTTCAGTGTGTTACAACTTATAACAATTCCTTATTCAGTAGTACGCTTGAGTAAACACCACATGATATACACCTATTACTTCCTTTGAGATAATGGCTAACGAAAATGGAAAAGTAAGTACAGCTGCAGAGTATTCACCCAGTGTGGTTCTTTTTATGCAAAAGCCTATGAAGCATTGAGACCTAGTGTTTTTACAATCAGATGGGATGAAATAAAGAATAAATGTCCTCTACTGCTTTCATTTCTCTACGCTTCTCTTTTCATATTCAGAAGCCCTAACTTATTGGAGATAACAGGATTTTTCTGCAGAAGTTCAATTTATTCCCATTGCCTCATCCTACCCTAAAGTTCATTCTTCTCAATCTTGAAGTTTATCCCTCTCTATAACACTGGTATTGCAGACACTTAGTTCCAATCCAAAGAACCTGATTAGAATTCTCAGCTTGTCCTCACCTTGCTGGAAAACCAGTACAGTAGCTACAACTTACTGGTTAAATCCTTAAAGCATCACAATTTGAACCTTCTGAAACCTAAATCATTTCTTAACTAGTCTATCAATCCAAAGCAGATTTAGTTTACAAAATTTTCCTTCTTATGTAATAGAATTCTTATTAGCTGGTACTAAGAAAAAAATCTTTGAAGAATGACTGGATGTAATATATTAGAATATGTATGATTCCACATCAAAGTTTAGGAAGGCAATACATAGAAGATGATGCATGATTCCACATTAAAGTTTAGGGATACAATGTATAGAAGATGAGGTATGATTCCACACTAAAGTTTAAGAATAGCAGTTAGGAAACTGACGCCCCAAAAGAGAGCCAAGTCCTCACATCATGTTATATAACATAAAGAGTAATTGTGCAACGACAACCATCTCTAATTTAAATTAACAGGAAAAAAATGGCCTTTTAGGTATACTCCCTTCAAAGTTTTCTTATCTCGAAAACAGCTTCAAGTCTATATTATTTATATATATTCTAGAAATCTTCCCTCCCATATAGTCCAAAATAACATGCATGCAAACAATTTAATGTCAAATCAATAGGATTGAAAAGGGGCCATTGAAGGAGGTATATCAAAACAAGGAAAATTCAGGTGGGTATATCTTAGAAACCAAATAAAGCAAGTTCAGTGAATCAAAGAAAGAATAAAAGTAAAATCTTAAATAACAGATTAAAGTATAAGGGAACAACTTACGTGAGATGTCTCTGGAACTAGAACATGAGAGTACCGACAAGTTCTCCGTTCGCAATTTCCTCGTGAAAAATCTTGGCAGACCTTTAAAAGAAAATGGGAAGAAGAAAATTGAAATTATAAAACAATAATACCATATGAACAATGAATATTGAAATCCAGCAATAACAATCAGATACATGTGCAATTGCTCATAATTATTATAACTGTTGGAACAAACCTAAGGTTATTTAACAATTTTCACTTTGGAGATGATATCATATGCATACACTGGACTATCTGAACCAGTGTAATATAAAAACTCTAGATCAGAAACACATACAAATTAAAAACAGTTCAAACATAATTGAAAGCACGCCATTATGTAGAGAATACTTATTTATAATATCGTAAATGTAGAACAAGAATGAAAGAACTCCCAGTAAGAATTCCCTGTAAATGTAGATCATGAATGAAAGAATTCCCTGTAAATGTAGATCATGAATGAAAGAATTCCCTGTAAACACAGATCAAGAACTAAGTTGCATGGGAACAGGTACGGGTGCGGGCAGGTACGGATACGAGACACGGCAAATTTGTAAAATGTAGGATACGGGGACACAACTACATAGATATATTGAAATTAGTAATTTACATGAGATCATTAATGTTTTTCATTTAATGTTGTTATTAGAATTAAAATTCCTATCACAATTTTATCATTCTTCCATTATGTTGATTATTATAAGTTGGAAACGGCTCATTTTTTAACTAGACACTCAAAAGACCCTTTCAAATCATAGTTTTGTACATGGTTATGGGCTAAAACGAACCCGACCGAAGTCTACCGAGTTTCAAGGAATGGATAAAAAGTGTAGGATGAGCGTCCAAGAAGTATATGACAAGCGATTTAAATTAAACACATGTCATATAGTTGGCACGTGTCTAAATAAAATAAGTGTATGCATTTATCCAAGGAGTGTCCATGAAGTTTGGGTAGAGGAACGCGTCGGGTACCTGTCCAATACGGGTATGGCTTCATGATAAAAGTATCTTGGTAACATAGATCAAGAATGAAAGAATTCCTGTAAAGGTAGAACAAGAATGAAAGAAGTCCCTGTAAGCAATATATGATTAGGTATATGTGACCTGTTGTCACATCCTGAGCCTGAGAGCCGGTCTGAACAATGTAAACCGTGGGACTCACTGAGTGTATCACATTGTTTGGCTCAAACAACTGCTAAAATCAGCTAGCCAATGCTACCCTTGAATCTCACAACTTACCTTGCCAACACTATCTCACTCTAGTCACCATCTGATCTGGGACTAATATGTTAGGATGTTACACCTGTAGGAATGGACATGGGATGCTGAGCATCTCAAGATCAATAAGAGGTTCTGTGCGAGGCAACTTAACAAGGTTAAGACCCAGAACATGGTATTTTCTGTGTTTTTTTAATATATTCTAAATGTGCATTACATAATTTCTCAATGAAAAATAATGCAAAACTATCAAGGAAGACAACTAGTTTCCTATGACATGAAACTTTAAGATATGAATATGTGAACAAAGTCCAAATCACAAGACCATATCCAAGGATCAGTTTTGTTTTATGCCAAGAAAGTCTACAATGGGAGTTACTCTTCTACGAAGTTGATTGGTAAAGAAAAGAATGAGTGAAGAAATTCAAATATAATTTCATTGATTCATTAAGATATATAACTAGGTCCATAGAGAATGTTTAGCTGCTGAATCACGAGATTCACCAACAGACACCAACTTTTTGCTGGCTCTTTTTCTAAAATTTAGCATGTCAATTTTCTATAATTTCCAAAAATTCAGCTACTTGATCTCATCCTAGTGAACCTGTTGAGACTCTCATTCTAAAATCCAACTTGATGGATGCTCAGGATTAGATTCTTCACATGTCTGTCCTCAAAAAAATAAAATCAACCTTAAACTGCATTTGCCTGGACCTGGAAATTTGCAAAGGTGCACAAATTCATTAACGCAAAATACCTAAGCATGTAAGTGAACAACAAAAGGTAAAAGCTTATAATGAAGCACAGGGTAAAACTGGACCCATGTTCAAATGATAGAACAGACATCAGGTTAAGTAACAAAGCAGCAATATCTCTTACAAGGGACCAATATCCATGTCAAATAATCACAAGATGTGAATTCAAGAAAACCTTTAAAATAGAACTGTGAACAAGTAACACGGTAGAAACTTAGGATGATCAGACAAGCAATATTGCAATGATAATAGTAGTAGAATAAGAACTGACCTGAGGCATCTGAGGAACTACAAAATGAGAGTACCTACAAGGTCTATGTTCACATTTTCCCCGTAGAAAATCCTGGCAAACCTTTAAAACAATTGGCAATAGAAAGTTAGAGTGAATACAAACCAAAACCAATAACAAGGTAGAACAACAGAAACAGACATGAGATCAACAGCATTGCTATCATAAATTATAAATGCCTCAGAAGAAATACAGGATGCCCTTACATATAAATACAGCACACCATGAACATTAAGGTAAAGCATGGCAGAATATAAAGAAATAAATATCTAAAGGAAAAGTGGATGACGGTAAGAATTTGATGAGCAGAGTGACACTAAACAACCAGATTACAAAGAGAGACAAGAAATATGGCATCTGGGTGTGGTACTTTAAGCTAAACGAACTGTACAGAATTTATAATAACTATGTTTTTCTTTTAAGCTAAAAGTTCAAATTGTTTAGAGAATCAAGCCACTAGAAAACCACTGATGTTGTGCAATTCTATTCACCAGAAACAATGGCTTGAGCTCTGCAAAGAGGAGCTAATAAATATAGCAAAGCATTGGTAAAGTATTGGAAAAAGAATTAACCTCAGGTATCTCAGCAGCCAGAACATGAGAATACCTACAAGATTTGCGCTCACAGCTTCCACGTACAAAATCCTGGCAAACCTTTGAAATAATAATTATCCAGAATGTTAGCAAATAGATAACATTATCCCACCATATGACATGGATTCTCAAACAATCAAGCAGAAATACTGCAGGAAAAAAAACATGAGATTAAATGCATGGTTTCCAGATACTATGACTTGTGTCAAATGTGGAAATAAGATATTTGCACAGATATATATGAGAAATAGTCTCAAATATTAGGAGAAATAAGATGCAGATAAAGTAACAATGAAAAAAGAGAAATGCATGCCAGAAAACATGCAGCAAAGAAAAGCATAGCACTCGAAAACATCTAATACCTATCCTAACAAGCTCTGAGATGATTCAGGCACATGAACACAATGAGTTTAAGTTAAAAAGTAAAAAAAGAGGCTGTTTACTGAACAACTTGGCAACATTAAAAATTAAAAAAAATAAAAAACTGTTTAGAAGAAAAAAGGGATGTGAGGCATGATAAAAAAAGAACTACAAGGAACTATCTACATACCAAAGAAAAATGAAATGGTTACAAAGAAGAAGACACCAAATAAAAAGTTGAAATTTTGGAATAAAATGAAATATAAATGGCAGAAAACCTGTAAAGTAGAATTTCTTATCAAAAAAATTTTGAAACACTCTTACTTTTTCTGATTTTATCCACCAAAAGGTAGGAAAATGTCAAAAACAATTTAAAAGAAGACTGTAGATCAATTTCATACAACAGCACAATGATCGATCGGCATGTGGTGTGCAAAACGGCAGTTGCTGGCTGATCTCAAACATCGACCACGTAGGAAGTCCTTACAGACCTGAAATAAGTATAATTCATAAAGAATGTAAACAGAACCTCATACAATCTCATAGCATAAGTGATGCACAACTTAGAAAAATCTCTATCCAAACAGAAACAAGGTGCACTATATATGTGTTACACACTATACTGGTCCAGAAATAAATATGCCCATTCCAACTATAAAATTCTATCCTACTTGACACAAGCAATTACACTAATAAATAGGCTTATCAGCCTTAAATATTTATACTACAAACATCTGATTCCAGGCATGATAACAAGAAAACATTTAAACCAATAACACATACCGTCTCAACTTCAGAATGCTCTACCCCGATCGCCTTTAGCAGAGACCTAAACAAAGACAGTAGTTAATTATCCTCATCAAATTTCCATCTTAAGGGGGAATAAGAGGAAATCAAAAATTGAACAATAAACTGAAATTTGAGGGGGGGGGGGGGGGGTTAGAAACAGGTGAAAGGGCACTTCCCACTATATTAAACCATAGCATGTAGGTTCCTTTTAATTCTATCACCACCCTTCAAAGTTCCTTTTTCAGGTATCTAAGATATCTCTGAATTGTCAACCAATGCCAACTGCTCTGATTCAAGTTGAATTTCCGAGTATTTTTTTAAAAGGGTTACTAACTCCAATCAAACAAATTAATGAAGTAACTACGATGAAAAAGTAAATAATTAGGTTGTAATCTCATAGGCATATAAATAAGTCATTGGATGGCCTAAGGTTAGCAATGAGAGAATAAGAACTTACGCAGAGCCGGAAAGAAAAAATAATAATCAGAATCTTGTCCATCTCAACAATTAAAATATGAAATTTTAGCCATCATCACTTCAGTCCAAACTCAACCAAAATTTAATGACATGTTTATAGTGTTCCAACCTGAAAATCCCTCTAAATTTTCAAAATTTACCATTTAACAAAGGCTAATCATCGAGGAGTGAAATAATTAACGGTATTTCTCATTGCAAAGGCAACTCCTTTTCAAACCAGATATTCGCAAGACTAAAACTTTAGAAAATCAGGGGAAAAAATAATTCATGAAGATAAATACTGTTGAATGTGAGGAGGAGGATGATAATAACGGCACGTCCTCCCTCGATAGCACTTATTCCTCAGAGAATCAGCACAAGCAATCACCTTATCCCTAAAAACAACAGCCACAATCAAAGTAAACCCTAAAAATCAAATTAAACAAGAGAAAAGAGATCAAATTACTTGACGACGGCGACGGCGGAGTGAGGGTGAGCGAACTTGCAGTCGATCTCGGATCGCTTGCAAGAGTTTCGAGTGAACTCTTTGCAGACCTCGACGGCGAGATCACTGACGCGGCAGCGCTTAGAGGAGGCTTGTTCGCTATCGGAGGAGGAGTTTGGCGTTTGAGATCGCTCGCGCTTGCGAGGAGCGATGGGGGAGGAGCTTGGAGAGCTTGGGGTTTGAGATCGCTCGCGCTTGCGAGGAGACATTGAGGACGGGAGAGGGGTAGAGAGAGAGAGGGAGAGGGGCAAAGAGTTTTCTACATTTATTTATTTTTTGGCTTGGCAAAATGGCCAGATATATTTTGTAGACACAGGTTGATAAATTGGTATAAATTTTTTAAATTTTGTCAAATTAGTATATATTATGTAGTCTCCAGCGTCATATACCCCTTAAGTTTGGCCGGATTGATTTTTTCGGTCATTTTTCTCACGTGACGGATCACATGACTCTGACATGGACTCCAACGTGGACTCCGACGTTGGCAGTAGTTGAGATGAATACATCTCATTGAAAGGGAGTTTTTTCTCAAATTAGAGTTTTTCTCGTCGTCACCCCTTAACTGCATCCGTCTTCTTCTTCGTCTTACTTCATCTTCTTCTTCCTCCTAGGGTTAGGGTTAGGTCCAGTATGAGCTAAATTAGCGATGGATTCTTCTTCTTCAAGCTGTCGCTTAAGATCAGTGTCAAGCACGAGCATAGAAAGAAGCAAACAATGGTTCAATGGGATAAAAGCTATACGATAGTGGAATGATCTAGCAAAGCAATCTGGGGTGAAGGTTTGTAATTGCGGTTTGGAATGCTAATATTTTACTTTTATGACTGATGAAAATCCGGGAAGGAGGTTCTACAAATGCCGCAATCATTGTGTAAGTTAATTTTACTTCCTCATTTGTTGCAGTAATTATTGCAGTTTTTACTTGGAAGCTGTTATTTTTTGCGCATCTCAATAGACTATGGTCTCCTTTGATTTTTAAGTAATGATAGGCTGGTGGTTGTGGTATTTGGGAGTGGATTGACAAACCAATGTGTAGTGTTGAATGTCAATTGTTTCCGCTTCTAAGAGAGGAGATCAATGGTTTGAGGAATACGTTGCTGTTGAAGGAGGAGTTACTTCAAAGGTAAGAAAATGAGCTAAGAGGATGCAATGAGCACACATACAAGCTTAAAGATGATGTTGAATTGTCTCAGCATAAGGCTGCTTCTTGTTCGGAAGAAGTGGAGAAAATGATGGAAGAAATATTAGAATTACACACAAAGATTGCAGAAGAAAAAAGGCCAATTAAGTTTATTTTGTTATTAGGAATGTTTACACTCTGTTTAATTCTGTGTGTTGTAATGTGAAGATGGTTGTAATGTGAAAGTGGTTGTAATGTGAATAAAGCACTATATTTTGTGAGTTGTCTGATTTATGAAGTTAATGTAATTTGAATATTTAACGCAATTTATTATGGAGCTGAGTTAATTGTACATGAATACAGGATTGATATATTGAATACACTGTCAAGTTGAATACACTGTTAAGCTGAATATACTTCATCAACTATGTGTTGTTATATACAGGCATGAATACACTGCCAAGTTGACAGATTGGTATATTGAAAACACGTGTACCTATTTTTGAACCAAAATGTACATGACCCGGTTCAATGATGTCAATAAAACATGTAAGTTCCAGATAGAACTGTCCAGAATACCAAATGTATCGGATAGAACTATATCACATAACAAAATACAAAATATCAAATGCATGTAAGTTCCAAAATACCAAATGTATCAGATAGAACATGTATCACATTAACCAGACAATAACAACCGGTAGTCTAGTTGAGTTAATTACAAAACACTGGTAGTCTAGTTATGTAACAACTGAAATTTTCTGATACATATTTAAATAAAATTTTCTAGTATTTAAAATATTAAATATTATTTTTAAATGAAGAGCATTAACATTTTCCAATTCTCTAGAAGCTTCTATGATTTTTTTTAAACATGTATAATAATAGTGGATATTATTATTAGAAAATGATAGGGGCACACCCTCAACCACATCCCAAAACACACCCCCTCTCTCATATGCTACAGTACACCGGGCTTCACATGGGATTTTAAAATTTTAAAATCCCATGTGGGGCCCGGTGCGTTGTAGCATATGAGAGAGGGGGTGTGGTTTGGGATGTGGTTGGGGGTGTACCCCTAGTGCCACCCATTATTATTTGGTTAACTATTACTATAAATGTTGATATTTATGTACATAGTATTAATAATTCGTTGTCACACTATCTCACAATAATCCCCATCTCCTTTAATCACTCCCATAATCACGTTCCCTCTTGATTTCCTTCCTTTTCTCCTCTACCATTACCACCCCACGTCCTCTCTCTCCTCCCATCTCTCCTCATCATCATATCCAGCTCACACACACTCTCTCTCTCTCTCCAATCAATCTCCATCTCCCTCTCTCCTCTCGTATCCTCTCTCTCTCTCTCTCTCTCTCTCTCTCTCTCTCTCTCCCTTCCTATCACTCTCAGAGCTCATCTTCCTCTCTCACCGGAGACCCAGCCCTGAGCTCCGTCGCGAGCTCCTCCGCTCATCAGACCCGACCATGCCGACTCCCCAGCTCTGACCGTGAGCCCCTGAGCTCACCGCTCTCCGCCCAGCTCTACCTTCGCCGCCATTTCCGACCGAACCACCCTCGTCGCCATTTGCCACCATTATATTTAAAAATTATTTTTAGAATTATTATTATAATGAGAAAAGAATTTATTTTGGAAGAGGGAATATTAAAAAGAATACTTAAAGAATATTTTTAGAATTATTTAAAAGAGTTTATTTTGGAATAAGGGATTATTTTGAATTATTATAATAATAAATAATTTAAAAGGGGTTATTTTGAAAACAGGTTTATGTTGAATTAGTATATGAGAAAATAATTTAAAGAATTTATTCTAGAAAATGAGAATTTTTTGGACTATTATAATGAGAAATAATTTTAAAATAAATTATTTTGGAAAAAGATTATTTCTAAATTATATAGATGTTGTTTATGATTTATAATTCTTAGATTTAATTACGTGACATGCCATGACATCGTTGTACAGGATTGATTATTTTTATTTATTGTTCCTTGTTTTGTTTGAGAACCATTAATAGTTCATGACTTAGTGGCTTTGCACATCATGAACAAGACTTAGTGACATGTGTATGTGCGTTGATTAAATTTAGGAGGTGGACCAGAGGTCTAGTGTAGGTTATGTTTGTTAACTTAGAAAAGTGAGAAGAGTTTGGATGGAAAAGTCTTGGTTCATGTGATGTGGTTGTTGATGTATCTTCCAGACTCGCATCATTGAATTTGTGTAGTCACTAGGGCTAGTTTGTTGGGCTAAAATGAATTCGTGTAGTCACTTTGGTCAATGAATTTATGTAGTCACCCGAGTTTTACTTGAGTTCGGACCAGGCCGAAATCGGATTGCGTGTAGTCCTCTGACCGATTCGTGTAGCGATATTGGATGCACGTAGAAGATTTGTGAACAGACATTTATCCAAGAATATGAACATTGATTCTATGTGAAATATGGACCAGTGATCTATTTTAGGATGGCTAGTACTCGACCTTGTTATTGTATGATGTTGGCCCCTTATGATTATTATGCTCTAGAGGTGGATTGCATTTTGATTTGTTAGATTTCTAGTTGCGCGTTTCTATTGTTATTTCTGTTGTTGCATCTGTCATTGTATTGGTCATTCGACTGTTTCTTTTCTCCCTTGTGGGATCTTATCGTGTGCCATGCACGTTGACGTACTCCTGTTCTCTCGGTTTGTACGTCAGATTTAGAGGACGGACATGTCCAGCTTGGAGATACGCCAGAGCCAGAGTATTCTTAGCAGGAGTGCTTTGTAGACAGAGCTGAAGAAGCTGAAGCTTAGTTATCTCTTTTTGTCAGTTGATGGATTTAGTTTATTTTTTTTACAATACTTCATTTCTATTTCTATTGGATTATGTATTTCTTGAGTTGGATTGTTTTGTAATAAGGGCGTGTTTGACCCATATTTTGTGTCTCGGATGATATTTTATATGTGATATGGATCATTTCTGTTCTGAGTTGTTTATTATATTCTTGCTAATTATGATCGGGGACCTGTAACTTCGTAATTTATTTCTCCTCAATCTAATATATCGTGGGCTTGTTCGCGTTCTGATTCCCGGGTATTTTTGGGAAGTGGGGCGTGATAGGTTTTTATGGTGGCCCATGCAGGTCATGGTCCTGAGTTTTCACTAGTAAGAATATAATGGATAATTTAGACGCATATCATTATTTCATATGTAAGACTATACTTAAGCCCTTATCATATTATCTTGATAAATTATGTTTGTCCCTACCTTATCACTTTTGACTTCGGAACTTCCCATTGTTCTTGTCTCGTCACTTCCCGACTACACTCTCTTCGTATAACTTCTCTTTCCTCGTACAAGTCATTATTTTATGTGTTATTATTTTTACACTATGTTTTCTTTGATTTGACTTATGTATCGTTTGATTATATTGATTTCTGTATTATTTATTATATTATTTTATGTATCACACACAGTGTTATGTTGTATGTTTTTTATTAAAAATTTACAAGTAACATAGTCTAATAAAAATCATTACTTATATATTTTTAATTGATCAAATCATGTTCATTAAGTGTTTCGCATTGCTCTAGGCTTCACATATATATCACATAGCATAACTGATATTCAGATTATTTTCTTGTGTTTAATTATACTTTGCATATCTACATTGTATATGTGCTTTTTTCTGTCATATCATCTATTACTTACTTATGTTCTAGATTATTGTGTATTGTTCGTATTTTTAGTGATATACATTAATAAGTTCATGATTTTAATATTCTACATATGCATTACATTCTTATTCTTTATTTATTCAACTCGCAATATTTTCAATACATAGTTTTCTTATCAATCAGTTTGTCTTGTTAGGTTGTTTTAGTATATTCACATTGGTTTTGTTATTTCTAAGAGCAATGTATTTCTATTTTGAATTTAAGATATTATTCCTATTGTTAGGTTTGGAATTTGAGTTACTAATTATATACATTTTTGTTACATTATTTCGTATCATTAATTCTTATTTTTTTATAATTAGTATAAAGATAATTCTAAATAGCGTTTGTGGGTATGCATGATATTTACTCATGAGTTGTTTATAGTACATTTGCATATTTGTTGTTTGTTTGCTTCGTTTTCG